TGGCATCTCGGCTTCAGGCACTTTCTCACAGACGTCATGTGGCTTCCCTCTGTCTTTTCTACAAATATTTTCATGTGCTGACATCTTTATTCCAGCAGAAATTTTAGCCATGATTTTAGTGGAAAAAGCAAGTTAATGTTCAACTACCTTACACTCATATTAATAAAACTGAACAATTCCTACTTAAAAAAATTGACTACATGAATTTAAGCGTGCTACTAGATTAGCACCTAGTCCCCACACTTTTACTGTTGAAATAGTTAAATGTAACCGCCTCTTCTACTTCCACAGTATCCTTTCTTGCACTGTGGAACTCCCTTACTCTTTCTTGCTTCCCTGATAACTACAATCTTCAAAAATTTAAATGCAGCATCAAACGTCATCTTCTATTGACTTGAATCCCGTTCATCTTTTATCCTTTCCTTAATCTCCCTATGCCCAGTCTGTTATATTACTTTCACTCTCTGTAAAGCGTGCTAGTGGCACTCCCGCCTTGTTTGGTGTGAAATCTTTAAAAAATAACGCAATCGTCTTTTGGATGGTTTGAACACTGTATCTAGAAATTGCTAGCCTCCTGGCTACGTCTCGTTGAGTCATCTTACACTTCAAAGCCACAATCTTCATCTTTATTCCAGCAGAAATTTTAGCCATGATTAAAGTCGAAAAATCAAGCTAATGTTCAACTACCTTACACTCATATTAATAAAACTGAACAATTCATACTTAAAAAATTGTATAATATCATGATATTATCATCACAGATCTTTCCTTGGCCCATTTGTTTGGCATGGACTTTTTTCAAACTCAAACTGTTTAAAGTGGTTTATCTTCTGTTAAATGATACCTACGAAAAGGCGACAGTTTATTTTCCAATCCTCACGGTTCACAGACACTACTGATAAAAACATACTGATAAACAATCTTAACTTCTTCATAGAATAAAGGTGTATAAACACCTTATGTATTTTTCCCAAGACTTGCACGTCAGTGTACAATTTGAACTCGTTCAACATTGACCATCTGTTGATTAAATAGGAAGCCATATTTATTTAACAATCTCTGTCATTTTCAACCTACTTTTCATCTTTTTTCTTCTACGATCTGCTTTCCTTTAGAAAACTTATAATTCAGAATGCATTCATTTTTCTGATGCATTATATCTACTTTCAGATTAATCTCTACTGTAGATTATAATGTTTTCATTTTTTTATTTTCTTGTTTACTCATCGAGCATATATATTTTTATAGTTTTAGGTCCGTTTATTTTTATACAAAAATTAAAAAAAAGAAACAATAATCTCCATTTGTGTTTAAAATATAAATCCCGAATAATTTAAATAATTTTTTAATAATAATTTTTGTATAGTTTTAGGTCCGTTTATTTTAATAAATATTTTTTTAAAAATACCATTAATCTCCGTTTATTTTAAATATAAAATATAAATCTCGTCTATTTTAAATAGAATATATATTTTTTAAATAAAATCCAGTAATCCCTCGTATAATAATATGGAGTGTGCCAACATTGCCATAACCAGATATTTTTATTAAAATTTAAATTATGTTATGGTCAGTCTCTACTCAGCACTTGAAGACTGCGTTGTGCATGAAACTCCGAGTCGTGCTACCGGCGAGGGACAATATGCATATTTATTAATATATACTTTATAACCGTGTTATATTACATCGAGCACAATTTTATTAACACCAGCACTCAATGTGCGATAGTATACTGCACAACAGCAAATTCTCAATCCCTCCTCTATTCAATCAATTCATCTCTGACATCTACTGCAGATAAGATTGAATGCTTTGCTCGGAAGTTCTCTTCCAGCTCCACACTCGACTCATCTGGAATACCCACACCTGATTCCCCCTAGAACGGAGGTTCTACTGAGTGATAGGCGTATAACCCTGTCATTGGGTTCAGTCATCATTTCCAAGCTAGACTCCACAAGGCAAGCAGGGATGACAGGATACTTGCCGTCGCCCTAAAGAAATATGCTCCCGAGCTGGTTCCAGTTCTCTCCAAACTCAACAACAAATGCCCCGATGCTTCCTCTTTTCCATCTTGTTGAAAGTCCTCCTTTGCAGTTCCTGTTTTTAAGAACTCCGGAGAACCCTCTGCCCCACTCAAGTTATTGTCCTATTACTCTCTAACATTTTTCGGCAAAGTATTTTAAGTTCTAATCAATGCTGAAGTAGTTAAGCAACTTACTTCTCATGACCTCCTCTCGGACAAACAATATGGCTTCCGTTTCGTCAGGTCTACCGCTGATGCGTTAACGGCCATCACTGAATATGGTCTTCTACGCAATATCCAGGGCTACGGTATTACATGACGATTGTTTGATTTAATCCAGTCGTTCCTATCAAATCGTGAAATTAAGATCGTTTTGACGGGCTCGCTTCCAGATTCTTTCACACGAATGCGGGTGACTCCCCAGTCTCTATCCTGGGACCTACGCTGATTCTGAACTTCATCAATGATATTACTGATGTTACCAGTTCCGAAATAAGCATTTATGCAGATGACACTACCATTTACTCCTGTCTCAATAGCAGATCCTTAAGAGCTGATAAAGTAAATCTGCCTGCTGCCCTTGGAAAGAAACTCCAATCAATGGTTAACTGGGACAGGAAAAGGTTTATAAATTTTAACGTCTCCGAAATAAAACTGCTCTCATTTAACCACCATCGAGAAGCTTCTACTTGACATCAGCATGACTGACGCTCGATCCCTGGAGAGCAACCGATTTTGCCTTCTTGGCCTAACATTTTCAAATGACTTGAAGTGGAGCGATGACATCAATAGCTGCATCTACTGCAAGGAAAGTTGGATCACTGTGACGTGCCAGAAGATTTTTCTCGTCACAATCCATCTTGCACAAATCTACTGTGCATTGAACACTGCTGTCATATCTGGTATGGTGTTCCTGCTATTCATCTCGAGGTTATTGACAAAATTCAAAGAAGAATCTGTAATGTAATCGATCCTGAATTGGCATCCCGACTTCAGTCACTTTGTCACCGACGTGATGTGGCTCCCGTCAGTCTATTCTCCAATAATTTCATAGAAAATGCTCTGCCAAGATTTTTTCCCTGGTACCCAGACAGTATTAATTTAAGGGTGTCATTAGATTGACATACAGGTACCACCCGTTTAAGGTTGAAATAGCTAAATGCAACCGCCACTTCTACTCCAACAGTTTTTCTCACACTTCCCGCTGTGGAACTTCCTTCCGTTTACTTGGTTCTCTGATAAATACAATCTTCAAAAATTTAAATGCAATGACAATTGCCATCTTTTATCTTCTTGAATCCCGTTCATCTTTTATCTTTTCATCAATCATTCCTATACTCAGTCTTTTTTCACTTTCTCTGTAACCCCCTGCGTACTAGTGACATTTCCACCTTGCTTTGAGTGAAATTATATATATATATATATATATATATATATTATAATGATTAAAAAAAAACATGATTCCATCGCGAATAAGAAAACAACAGAACTACAACATCAATCCGTTAGAGTTTTAGCAGGGAGTCTGATAAGATCAGCCTTTGTAGCCAGACAAAAAAAAACAACCCAACCTTACACGAGTCCAAAAACTTGATATATAACAAACACCCCTACTTCAATCAAAACAGTGACCCCTTGATAATGAAAAACAAACCCTAGATCACACCTCCATTTCAAAACTATAAATGAGTAAAACATTCCGTAGCATAGTTATTCCGAAACATTGCTTGAAGATGAGACTGCCACCCGGTAATTAAAGTTTAATATTGAATTTAAAGTTGAATACCTCTGACCAGTGTCGCGATGAAATCATATTTAAAAAAAATAATTATAATCTAGGCTCTACTTCTATATCGAGCACTGTTTTTAAAAATAAAAACAAAAATACTAAAGAACTTCGGATCATCAATCTAACAGTTCTTCCCTATTATATCAATATACACACACATAAACACACGCGCACGCACACACACACACACACACATATATATATATACTTTAAAAGATGAATATAGTTACTGACTGGAACAAACACAGAGCCAAACTCAAAGACGCATATACATGAAGTATGAATAAAAGCTAGTTATATTCTGTGTCACCACATGTGACAAAATCATAAAAGACAAAGTATTGATTGTAATAATTAAGATTCAGAGACTGAAACTACGTTTGAATAGAGCATTTGTTCTTTAGTTGTTTTTACAGGCATTAATTTACTGGTAAGCTTATAACTCCTTATACTAAACAGTTTCTTTTTTTTAACGGATAAGTTAGCTACATCAATTTTTGTGAATTAATTTAGAAGAAAAAGAAAGTTTGCCCTGTTCATAAAAAAAAGGCGATATATTTCCTGTCTATCTCAGGACATGGTAGATGCCAAAATGTTTTTTTACTGAGTGTCAGCTAAAAGAAAGAGCTGGCCTTGCAAGAGGGAAAATAAACCTTCTCTTTATGACTATCAAGATAAGCGTGATTCTTAAGCAGTGATTTGCTATGAGTTTTAAATAGAGCAAAAAGACAAGCGAATGAATAACTCGAACTGAGTCAGAACACCATCAACCATTTTATTATCAAATGTTGATAATAAAAAGTACAGTTCAACATTTGACTATTTCTCTATCATTATTTGCTGAGCTGGTTTTAAACCTTTAACAGTTTATTTTTGTCTATTGTGCGTGTGTGTTAGAAAGATAAAGAAAGGGAAATTTATTGGTTGGTTGTCTTTGTTTAGCGGCACATCAATACCTCTATGGGTTATTTAATGCCGATAGATCTATCTAGATTAAATTTTTATTTTATTTTTTAATGATTTCGTGATACAATTCTTACTAATTAGCCCATAGCGGGGGGGGGGAGAAATTGTGGATTCATATCTTTCCAAAGGGCATTTGCACGTAAGGGAACATAACGAACTCAACGAGAATTGTTACTCGCCTTTCCGATTAACAATTATCCATTACACCACCCGCACATCCAGGCTTACAGCACCTGCTATTCCCAAATGGTCACCCATCTAGCTACTGACCAGGCTTAACTTCGGTGATCGTACGGGAACTAGTGTTTCAACGTCAAGCGGCCGTAAGCCGGAATTTTATCGGATCGGAACAACAGTTCATACCGTTTTTATATGCGAATTTCAAAGAAAATATTTACATAAATCTAGATAGACTTATGCAACGTGAGCACGTGGCAAAGTGGTTGAAAACGTTCGCTTTCTGACCATGCAATCTCACCATCGATTGCTGCTTCGCTGTTCAATTGGATAGACTACATTCCTGAATTCAACGTTCGATTCTTGTGGAAGGGGCTCGTAATACACAGTGCCCTTTCTAATACCATCAGATGTACAGCATCATCTTCGGCTCAAACAACTTCACTCAGACAGTTAGATTTCAACCTCCCAAAATATGGTTTCTGTCTGGTGAAATGATAATCCGAATGTGTAAAGTCAGAAGAATAATTGAGCCGGGGGTGGTTAGTAGGGTATTATAGCCAAGCTGTACCAATTTCTGCCAGGCCTGCAAATAGACGTAATGTCTGGCGCTGTTCTGATGAAAGAGCATATCCTTCCGATTGGCCAAATCATGGCGCTTTATATTAATTACTGCTTTAATCGCTCCAATTGGGAACAGTTCTTGATTGAATTCAACGTCCGATTCTTGCGGAAGGAACACGTAATACACAATGCCCTTTCTAATTCCATCAGATACACAGCATCACCTTCTTCGGATGCAGACCGGCTTCTGCAATGATTACCGGTGACTTGTTACGGTAAGTGCATGTTCAAATCACGTCGGAAAGTCAGCATACGTTGCGGCACTTCTCCTAGTTGGCCTAAAAGCAGTGGAAAAAAATTACACACGTAAACGACGGGACGTCATTGTAAGCAGAGGTAAAAGGAAATGGAATACATTTTAACAAGGCGATATTGTCATATAATATTTTATATAATTTTGAAGATCAAAATTTGCTTCTTTGTTTTCCAGTCAATTTTGATCTTCAAAAATTTAAATGTAATGTCAATCGTTAACTACTGTCTTCCTAATTCCTTAATTACTATAGCCACAGTCCCGATACTTTTTGTTCCGACCTCGTAAGTCATTGGGCATGATAACATGTTTATAATAATGACAAATAATCAAGTAAAACAGCGATGACATACTCTATTAAAGGTTATGTGACGGATAGAAGATTCGTTCTTACCGTTGATCTTTTATTTTTCTTTTGTAATGCTCACTCAATACAAGGCCAAGGGGCCACTCAAGGTAGAGGGTTACAGTGTGGAGTTGCATTATTATTTGGAAAAGCCAAGATAACAAGAATGATAGCTAATTCTAGACTTGAAGAGGCCAAGATTTAATTAGCGAATAATATTTCAGGGTTCAGGCGGAGACGTTAGGAATATAGAATCGAAGTAGACTTTAGAAGAAACCGGACACCCAAAATGTAAATGGTGTGTCGTCGTAATTGCCAGTGCAAGGAAATGGAATTAATTTCCACAAGGTGATATTTTCATGTGTTTTTATGTAACTTATTAACAAAGGAGATAAAATACTCTTCTATGTATGCAGATATATCTCTAGTGGTGTCCTCCCTCTAAAGAGTGTATGTTAGACTCTTCCGCCTACTATAAGATTAGTAGGACAGAAGGCTTCGGGGAACAGTCGAATAGATTGTTTAACTGTCAAACTCTCTGCCTCGGCAGAGAGGAACTCGGACGAGGCTTTGCCGCAGGGCAAATTTTCGTCCGGGGAGGTAGACAGTCTCTGAACCCGTTTAGGCGGGTTCAAAGGGGATATTTTTGGCCGAGTCTACGGGCTCGGAATACCCACAATAAACCGACCTTGTGCCAATAACACCCTCGTGGAGGGCTGTTAAATATAACAGTGAATAGATTGAGCGCTAGTTCATTCGATACACTCTCACTAGTCGTGTAATAATCTTCTAGTGTACTTACTGTTTAATATACGATATATCTGCGAAACCTGGTTTTTGTTATTACTTAACCATTTACTTGGTCACAACAATAACTGAAAAAGAAAGAAGACATTAAAATCTAGGAATTGTGTTAGTGATACACGTGTGTGTGTGTGTGTGTGTGTGTGTGTAAGGGTTCAGTTAATCAGGAGAAAGATATAGCCATACTGAGGGTAAATCCCGTGCTGCTGTTAGTTTTACTGCATGCTAGGAGGGGAAAAGAGAAAAGAGAGAGTGTACCGTTTGTATAGCTGCTTAATAGCGCCACATTTCGACGTCTTGCTGAATCTGGTAAAGCTATGTGGGGGTAATCCACAGATTCATTTCATTTTTTTCCACGTTGTTATAATCAAGAGTTTTAGACAATCTATATCTTCTTATATGTTGCGTTTAGCTGAAAATTAGACGCTTACTACGGAAACCCGGTACTAGATATAGAACTTCTGGGCTCCTTTTTTTTATCTTCGTTTTTTGAAATCCTACAATGCTGAGGATGCCATGGGCCGAACATTTGAGCAACGACGAAGTTTTAGAGAAAATGGAAGCAAAAAGGACACTTATACTTAACATCAGAAAGAGAAGAGTTGAAATTTCTAGGGCACATAATGAAGAAAAAGGGCTTGGAAAATCTGATACTCACAGGACAAATTCAAGGCAAGATGAACAAAGGAAAAACAACGCATAACCTACTTTGTGAGTTTGAGTAAGTGGATGACGGAAAAAGGTTTAGGAGAAATAAGAAAAAGACAAAATTTCTTAAGAGCTACAAAGGACAGGAAATTGTGGAGAGCCATAATTGCGCACGTACTAAAGAGAAATGACACATAAAGAAGAAGAAGAAAAAAAACAACAACAGCAATGTCTTTCAATAAAGATCGATAGATAATTCCTAGCACTTAGCATAAATAATACAACTGAAATAAAATTGAAATAACTTCATAACAAAACACTTTATCGATTAACCTTAATTATGATATTTACAATATTTATATGCGGGCTATTGTCCTCATCTTTGTTGTTATTATCACAACTTTTTGGCCATTGAGTCATCCGGCCTTCAGGCACTTGTCGATTGGAATTACCTTCAGGGGATCTCGAACTGAACCTTTTATTTAATTTACAGGTTTAGATTGTTCTCGTTCCGTTGACCATGTCAATTGTTGTATGCTCTTTTCCACTGAGTTCAAGTCTCCAGAGCAGTCTTGGAATGAGATATCCCTAGGCAGTGACCGAGGGGTTAGAACGTTAACATGCCAATCATGAGACTGTGGTTCGAATCTTATCAGGGTCAATTTGTCGCCAGGGTGGTGACTGATGTAATATAGTCCATTTTTTTCCAGCTGCTTTCGCCGTTTTCAATTAAGTGTTACCATTCTCGCAGTCTGATTACCTTGCCGTTATATTTCGGTATTTTTTATTCAGATTTGAAGACATGCGGTTGAATATCTGTGTCATAAGTCTCTGTTTACTTAGGCTTATAGACACATCACGTTAAATCATCCGTTCCCGTACGATCACTGAAGTTAAGCAACGTCGAGCCTGATTAGTACATAGATGAGTGACTGTTTGGGGAATGGTGCTGTAAGCTTGGAAGTGCAAGATGTAATAGATAATTGTTAATCGGAGAGCCAAGTTCCAATTCGTGTTGAGTTCGTTATATCTACACGCGCAAATACCCTTGGGAAAGGTATAAATCCTCCTCCCAGCTATGGGTTAATTAGTAAGACTTTATCACTAAACCATCTTTTATGAACTCAACAAACATTTTTTCTTCTAATGAACTCACAAAAATTTGTGGCTAACTTATCCGTTAAAAAAGTAACTGTTTAATGTACGGACTTATAAGCTTACCAAATATTTCTACTAAACCTTGTTCCGCCATCCATTTACTCAAGTTCAATGTGTACGTTATGCGTTGCCCGACCTTTAAACATACCTTCGACGTCGAAAGAATAGCCAAGAAGAGACATTTTCTGGAAACAGTAAGGATAAGACCTCCGAAACCCACCAGCGCCACAGCTTATGCTGACCCCAATTGCGCCCGTCCGAAGCTAGTGGGATTTTGTAAGGGACGGTTTAGCGATTGTAAAATAGATAGAATTAATTTTATTAGGAGAGGCACTATCCTGATCCAAACGTAAGCCACGGCTTATAAACATAAACAATCGAAGAGATCATCTTACGGTACCAGAAATAGAGTTCATTTCACTATATAACAATCTCCAAAATGAAAATGGTTCCATTTCAAAATGTTTGGTTTGATTCTGTGTATCACCAACGCAATTCCTAGATTTTAATGTTCTGTTTAGCATATCAACACCTCAATGGGTTATTTAATGCCGAAATCTGAAAATTGAAAATTTGTAATTAATTCAAGAGAATGGTATTATTTAAATTTTAATTATTTTGTTGTATTTTTTTAGAACCAAATAATATTACAAAATCAAGCAACGGGTGTAAACTTGTTTCTCCTTACTAGAAATGAGATTAATCATAGTAAATACCTTCTTTTTTTTTTTTTTTTTTTTGACAATGTACGCATGTCTTCAATTTTACTATAAAAATATATTGGTAATTTTATTTTTTTTAAGTGTATTGCTGGTAATTTCGCTACAAAGATGTATAGTTGATATTTTTTTTTATAAAAATAGATTGCTGGTATTTTTACTATAAAAATATATATTTTAGTTTGTTAGTGTCTTGATTTATGTTTGGTAGCGGGGATTCACTATTTGTCTATAGCTGGACCTACAGGTGCTACCACTTTGGATCAGGGTGAACCAGAGGACAACAGCAATAAAGAAGTATTTGAAAGTATGCAACTAATGAATTTCGTCATCCAGTTCAAGTGAAACATACAAATGTAATAAAAATACAAAAAATAATCCTTTTCGTGGCACGAGAACACATGAATCATACGAGCAAATGGTGACGAAAACAAACAAAAATTTAAAAATAAACCCTACAAGATAGAAAATGTATATTATAGATCTTACTTAAAAGGTAAACATACGATGTATGATCTACTTCGATGAATATTTTCTGCTTAGAACTGTAAAACTGCAAAAGTCGACAGAAAATGTTAACTCATCACAGTATCAATGCGAGGCTCCTGCGTCGTATCTTCACCAAACTAACATGCAATATCAAGTGAAAAAAAAAAACAAAGAAAAGAAAAAGGAAACAAATGAAAGCAGAGAATGCGAAACACTTATCTGACTGGGCTGGGCAGGTCTAAGTTTGGTTCGGTTGCTTTTATTTCCTACTCAACTGTTGAGAGATCTACAGCTGTTTGAGTTTAAGTCGAGGTATTCGTTACATCCTGTTTATAATGCGGGTTGACAAATAACAAAACCTGGACAAGTAATTTCTGGTCCGAAATTTTTACAGATGGACAAAGACAATTTTTGAAAAATAATTGCAAAGTTTTCCTTACTTTTTCCGACAACTGTCTGTCTGTCTGTCTCTCTCTCTCTCTCTCTCACACACAAACACACACACATACATATATATATGTGTGTGTGTGTGTGTGTGTGTGTGTGTGTGTATATATATATATATATATATATATATATATATAGGATAAAGAACAACTAGGAAATATTATATGGAGAAAAAATGAAAGAAATTCTGGTATTTTTATTTTTGTGTTTGATTTTCATCGTTTGATCCTGTTTCATATGCATTCATCTTGTTAAACAACGTTAATATAATCTATGGTGTTCCGAATTTAAGGAGTGACTACGTGTCCTTTCGAAACTGCAAGAAATATATATATATATGCACTAACAGTATATGGAAAGAGATCGAAAATCCGAATCTTATCCACATATCCCACTTCAAACTTTCTGTCACTGGAGCAGAGGCTTTAAGTTTTGGCTTGAAATTCGCTACCAGATTAAAGAAAATGACACTGTCACAATTTAACCAAAAACCGTAAATTCGACCACACCAAATTTCAAAAGTTTTTTTTTGTATAAGGTATCTTAGCAGTCACTCTCACAAACATCGATGTAACTACCAGTGGCGAATCTACGGGGGGGTGCTGAAGGCCCCCCCCCCCAAGTTTTGGCTGGACCCTCGGTTGCCTCACCCACACTTTTATAAATTTTCTAGAGGAAAAAAACAAGAGCAGACAAATTATATTGTTCTGTTAGTATTGACGTTAGTATTAACCTTTTGATTTTGTTTTGAAGTTAACCTCTTTTGTGGTCCAATAGATTGAGAGTTGAAAAGAGGGCAAGAATAGATTAGAACTCCACTACTATAAATGAAAAGTTATTCCGTTTAATTTAGTGGAGTAACATACTTATACTAAAACTCATTCATAAGTTGTGTATACGATAGTGGTGTAATATGAAAATAAAAATGTTGCTTGAATTTGCCCCCTCCTCCGCAGAAAAATCTAGACCCCTTTGCACCCCCCACACACACTTTCAGAGTTCTAGAATCGCCACTGGTATCTACGTTACCCAGGTGATATATATGGGCATTAAAAATTTATCCATTCTTACAATATATCACCATTCTTAGTAGATCTTATATTGTCACAGTGTGGGATTGTCAGGGACAAAGGTGATTGAGAGAAATAAAAAAAGAGTACAGATGAATTTGGCAAGATTGAAAAAAATTCTTTAAAAAACATTCTTTCAAAAAATGTATCTACATTCATAACTTAACCGACCACATACAGCTTCTTTTTGCTTTTGTATTTTTATCGCGATCGAATATATATATATATATATATATATATATATATATATATATTATAAATTAATTGATTTAAAAAATTTTTTTTTTTTTCGCAACACAGTTCTAACCATGTTTTAAAAATGGAAGCTAAAAGCCCCGAATTTAATTTTGTAATTAATTTAAAGACATTAGTTCCATTTCATCCTCAAGCGAATTTTGGAGTAACTTTTAAAATTAGTGGGTTTTAAAGACACATAATGAACACGCAGACACCCCTGTCTAGTGGAAGTGGATTTATCTGTAACCTTGGAAACGTGAATGATGATTTTAGCTCTGTAAATTTACATTGAGCACTATTTTGTAAAAATAAAAATATCTATAAGAACACCAGATTATATATCTTACTGTTCTTTCTTTTTATTTATATATACATATACCGCCAAAGTTTAGCTAAAAATGAGCATACATGCCCCAAACTAAATAAAAACAAAATTTCGTCGTCAGAATCTTTTTATTAATGGGAAAGACCAAATAATGTTTTTGATTATTAAACCATATTTCTCAATCCTTTTTAGAACGATCGAAATTTTGGTTCAAATTTTTTATTTTCTCCTGTCAGCGAGTGGCAAATGGATTATAAATTACTATAGGATATTTTAGGCTCTTTTTGCGACGAAAAAACATTGATTTGAAAATTCTTGAAAAGTAAATGTAAAGTTTTAAATTCTGTACTAATTTGTAGCAGTTAGGTGATATTGCTATAAATTAAGCAAGCGTCTTCGTAAGTAAGACGATAATGACAAAGTAT